TACAACAATACTATTATTAACAATATTGATAACAACAATAACATTAGCCATAATCCACAATCATAGACTGTATCAAATATTACTAATCCTGGAAAGAAATAGATGACTAACAACCAAACACAAATAACATTCAACAATACGTGTACAACTATTGACAACAATCCAAATGCAACACAATTACTTTACAGTATAATCATTGAATCATTGATAACAATAATATTAATAACAATCTTATATTGTTGCTATAAACACCAATACTATAAAAAGCGAATGAACAAGACTATCCCTGGAGCAAATCAATACCTTGAACAATCCAAAACATCAATCTGTTGTTAAACAAAATAAATAATTAACTAAATAATCTAACCTTATATGTCAAACAATAATTATCAAAAACCACCATTAAGACCTATTGCACCCTTTAACTATCATCACAGGATACCAAGAGTAATCATACCAAGAGTACTAACAGTACCTCAACAAAGACCAGTGATACCTTACATACAATATCAAAGGCCAAATATACCAAGATCATTACAACAAATACCGATTGATAATCAACTACAACAACAGCTAAATCAACAATTTGGAATAACACCAAGACCTGTTAAACTATATAACACAGCTTTACCAAGGATACCAAAGAAGCTAAACATCTACAATTTCTCAAAAAGAAATAAATGACAGATAATAACAACAATAATAATACACTCTTAGAAATATTCGGAAGAATAACTACAATACTAGTAATACTAGGAGCAACAGCATTAATATTCATAATTGCAAAGCTTAAACAGCTTAAAAAAAAGAAACAACAAACAAGTAACCAAAACTTACCTCAATATACCCAAAAAGAAGCAACACAAAGAATTATACCAAACATATTAAGTATTAACCAAACATTTGGAACAAGATACTAATACATGTTAATAATACAAATATTAATTACACCATCAACTGTATTTAGCACGATAATCAGTACTATAACTGCAACATTTACACCAACATCAACACCATCTATTATTCAAACACAAACACCAGGATACCTACAAGATACAAATGTAATCGACACATTTATAGGAGAAGTAATATTCATAATAGTAGTAGCAATAACTACAGCTATACTAATTTGTAAATACAGAAATAAACAAAACGAGTTACAAGTTCAACAACAAGAATTTGAAAGACATCAAATAGTTAATAGCGTTAACGCAATATGAAACAATGCTTAACCATGGATAATCAACAAGATAACACTTTAACAATCATAACCAGTAATCATACAGTATCAACATTAAACGTATCAATAACTTGGATGCACAATATCATCATAGTATTAGCAGCATCAGAGAAACTATTCATATATCTCAATCAAACTATACAGCTTATCATAATATTAGTTGCAATAGTAACAACTATATCTATAATAGCAAATACTATTATACGAACAAAAGAAATAACCGCACGAATGAATTGCCCAAATAATATTGAGAAACTCAAGAAACTTATAGTAAAAACAACAGAATATAAAGTGATAGTAACCAAAACATTGGAAGAAAAACCAAAAGTAATTATCAAAGAAAAAGAAATTCCAAAACAAACAAAAATAAAAACAGAAGTATCACCTATACTTAAACAAACTATATCAGTACAAAAAGCAACAGAATTATATGTATACTTAGAATTCAAAAAGAAGTTTAATCAAGGAACCTTACCTATAGAAAAACTAATATATTTAGCTACAAAAGCAAAAGAATTCGACGAACCACAAGAATTCATTGAAAGAATATTAGATAAAGCATCATACTTATCTAAACAACAATTCCAAAAGAATTAATGAGCTACGGAGAAATTAGAAATGAAACATATATAAGAGTTTTCCAAGAGTATTTTAACAAATATCCAAACCCACTATCAGACGAACATAAAATAAAACTTCAAGAGAAACTTAAAGAATTTGATCAACGAATTGAAGAATTTGTAGAAGGAAACTTGATAACTAAAAAGAACCCTATACAAGAAACAAAATGAGTCTATAACTACAAGAAAAGAGAATATAGAGAACAAGTCTTCAACTATATTGAAGAAGAAGAAATAAACTCAGGAGACCTAACTGACAAAGAAATAACAACATATTTAGTATACTCATTAGTAATAGCAGACAGACCAAGAGTCAAAACAAGTCTTGAAACCATATCAAGAAAATAATTCAATGTTAGAAATTGGTTAAAATACACTCAGTGTACTTACCAAAGACAACTATTAACTATATTACCTGAATAATAGCAGCAATAACAGAATTTGAACCACCAAAGAATTTAGAAAGGCTAACATCCTTAATATCAGAATATGACAGAGATATTGGAAAATATAGAGATTGGAGAAACCAATTAGAAAACACATTCAAAGCATTAAGGTTAGGAGACTTAATTATATTTGGAAGATATTCCGAAACATCTAAAAAAGAATACACACTAAGAGGAAGAGATTATAATTTAGGAGGAGCAAATGCACATGAATGTAGATGGAGCACAGAAATAATGCAAACAGTATTGGCAATAATTAGAACCAAACTCAGAAAAGATGCATTAGAAGCATTTGACGCAGAAATAGCAACCATAAATTGTTACTTTAGATCAAACACAGACGGAACAGGACTAAAAGATGTAGAAAATTATTCAACAAGAAATATAAGTTATTTATTAGTAGCAGAAGCATGGCATGACACTGCAGTGGCAGAAGGACGAAGGATAAACCCAAATGTCACAAATGCAATAATACAAAAAGGATTTAGAGACGTATTCGATGAAAATTTCACTAGAGACTCAATGCAATCATTAAACCAAAAAGAATTTTTAGCATTTAACTTCTACAAGAATTTAGACTGGAATGATGACTCAAGAATGAGAAAACAAATTAACTAATATAAACGACTCAAAATATTGTCAAACTGGCAATGGGCACCAAACTTCTTCGGAGAAAACTACATACATTTATTAGAAAGAATGCCAAAAAATGTAGCTTAACAATTAGCATTAACAGATCTATTACAAAACAATGAAGCAGATTACTTCAAAAAAGCCGACACTCTATTCAGATCAATAAGAGTAACAATGGATCAAACAAGCAAAATAAAAAGTGATAAAGCAAATCATTATTCCCAAAGAACTCAAAAAATAAATAACTTACAAACAGAGCAACCTCAAAAAGGAAAATGCTACTCATGTGGACAAATAGGACACTTTGCAAAAGAATGCCCAAAAAGAAAAGGAAAAGAAGTATATAATAGAGTACAATCAACTTACAGAAGCTATAATGGAAAACAAAAAAAAACTTATGTCAAAAAATACTGTTTATATTGTAGAAAAAATAATGGATATCACACCAAAACATGTCCAAATAATAATGCCAACTACTATAAAGGAAAAAGAGCAAGAGGACCAACACCTATAGTTCATAAATATAATAACTTCAAAAGTAATAAAGGAAAAGGAAAACCTCAATACAATAATAACAATAGAAACAATGGAGGAAGAAAACCACAAAACAATACAAGAAAATCTTTCACAAAAAGAAGAGTAAATAATTACAAGGAAGAAAAACAACCAGAAAAAGTATACAACTCTAAAAGAAAAGAAAAGTAAACCATTATAACGAAAAAAATGAAGAACATAATAGTAATGAAAAAATAGTTCATCATACTAAAGTCAAAGAAAACCTTGACAAAATTCGATATTTCAATAGGGAACCTGTATAGTACTCAGGACAAAATTCAAAGAAAAAAGGCCAAAGTAGCAAACTACTTAGTACTAAAGAATATTATAACACTATAACATTTAAAGAAAGTATACACAATATACAATGTATTAATAATGAAATAAATAAACGATCGCAAAACGATCAATATAACAAATATTTTGCCAAACTATTATCAAATGAAATGTACCAACAAGCTCAAGAAAACCCAGAATACTCTTATCTATTGAAACAATACTACTTTCCAAAAAAAGCGCACAAAGCTTAAGAATTTCCTAAAGGCAAAAAATCATATGAATTTATAGCATTAATGAACAGCAAACCTATTAAAGTACTCATAGACGAAGGAGCAAGTGCAAGTGTAATACCCTATAATGTAGCAAAAGAATGGAACTTACTAGAAAAACTCAATAAAGAACAAACCAGAACTGAAAGAGTTCCAGGAGGAATGAATATAACAAATTATAGCAAAGTAAAAGTAAAGCTCCAAATAGAAAATCTGATATTTTACATCAAAGTATCAGTAATAGAAGAAGAACAAGCTTATATACTCTTAGCAGAAGTAGACCAAGCACGAATGAGAATAAAGAAAAATAGAAAAACTCAAATCATAACAATTAGAGACATACCGATATCATACCAAGACATCACAACAGATGTGCAAAAAGCGAACCTATCACACTGGTTTTATGACAGAAACCCAGATCGCACCTTGAACCTTACAATAAAAAAGGAGAAGTCTCATGGTCAGCACATAAAATCTGATGAAATCACCCAACTTGATACCACAAATCAGTCTAATATACACTAAATTAAGAGCTAATTATGTGCAACTAGTTACCTTGCTCGAAAAACTAGTGACCCGTGCAAAAGTGAAAAAAACCTGCCGTTGGCACCCAATGTGGGTAGTAAAAATCTATTCCCAAACAACATGGTAAAAAATAAAAAACTTACTACTTATACCCTAAACAAAACAAGTCGAACTCCTAATAACCAATTACACGTTAATAATAATATGATATCAGAAAAAACCATTAAGCCTAAAGTAATAAATAAAAATATTACCACTCTAAAGAAAAAGAAGAAGATAAAACTCTTCACTAATAAAAGGAAGCCCAAAGAACAATTTTTAAAAGAAAATATTAAACAAAATGAGTAAACAGAAAAATGGGTAGATAAACAATATAACCCACAGAAATGTAAGAGATTCATAACACATCTCTTACCAGAGTCATTTCCAAAACAAGTTAAGAAACTTAGAAAACTTGTTAAAGAAAATGAAAATAGAGTCAAATTAATTGGAGTAACAACAGACGCTCGTTGGGATGAGATAGTAAAAACCACTATCATAACCCAATCTAACATAGTACAAATATTTTTAAAATATTTAGATTCAGTAAAAGAAGGAATACCTGATAAACAGGAAAATATAAACATAATAGAAGGAAATAGGAATATAGGCCTTAAAATGGTTTTACATCACAATATGAGATTATATGTAAATGATAAACTATTTATATACTATAATGGAAATAGACAGATAAACTGGAAAATAATAAGGATAATTCAAGAATTAAAATGTACTGATAAAATAAACATACAATGGAGTGTACTATACCTAGAAACAAAAACTGATCGCAATTGAGAAGATATAATAGAAAATATCAATTATATACTAAGGAAAATAGTTGAAAACAATCTAAGGATTGGACTATTATTGGAAAATAGCACAAGTACCAAATGCTATAAAACAACAATAGCTGACCTCATGAATATCCTAAATAGTACAGACCAAAGATTAAGGTATAAAGATAAAAATAAAGAAAAGAGAAGAATAGCAATGTGCTTCAACATGCAACACTTCTATTCAGCAGGAAATGGAAAATATGTAAATGAATACAAAAATGTACTTTACATGTATAGAAAAGAAATACAATTAGTACACATAAATAACAATCTCCGAGAAGCAATATTTGGAATAGGAATAGACAAGCATGCATATATATTAGATCCAAATACAATGATTATACAAGATATATTTCAGATGATAGCAAAGCACAACAAGGTCTGTGCTATGGTACTAGAAACACCTAATATAGAATTATCAGATCAAATTGCACAAATTCATGAAGTAATGAAATTACGAGAATATGCAAATGATGTTATAACAGAAAAAGATCGTAATGTTCAAGAGTGGACTAAAGAAAAAGATGAAGAACAAAGTGAAATCACAGGATTCCAAGGATTAGGGATATACATACCCTTAGGGTTTCAATTTGAGGACCCAGATGTATCTGACTTAGCAGATCGATTAGCAAGAACAACCTGCAGATAAAGAACAGAAAAACTTGAATAATAAACACTTAAATCAAATATATAGAGAGGTAGAAAAAACCTTAAATAAAGTATTACCTCAATTAAAGAAAGGAAAAAGGAAGAAAGATGAACCTCCTAAAGATCAACCACGAAAAATGGGTCAAATAATTAAACAAAAGTTAAATAGATTAGATAAAGCTATTCTTGATAGAGAAATAGCCAAAGATACAAGAATTGAGCAAACAATTCAAGATCTAAATTGGAGATTAGAACAAATAAATAAAACTTACAGTTATACTCAAGGTCTAACTGAAAAAGAAATAGAAGAATACTTGGAAACAGTACAAAAAGTAACAAAAATTAAAGACGCTGACAAACCTGCAGAAACAAGAAGAAAATACTTATATGAAGTATTATCAACATTAAATGAAACAAATGATGCAACAATATGGAAGCATCGAGAAGACATAAAAGATCTTCAAGAAGAATATAATAAAGATATTCATGGAATATTAGATATAACTGCTAAAGAATTCAATAATATGGGACTCATTGAACAACAAACAGCAGTAACTGCATTAATAACAGTGCAAGCACACTATAAAGATGAACCTACAAAACAAGCATTGTATGAAAAACACAAAGAATTTCTAGAATCCCAACTAGAAAAAGTAGAAGAAAGCATGATGATAAAGAAATTCAAGGAAGAATTTACGAAGATGTCATCAAAGCAAGAAAAAAGGAAAAACCACAAATGTTATTACCTGACCCAAAAGAAAGAAACACCTACAAACCATATGAGCAATATAATATACCAAGAGACAAAGACTTTGTCAAAGAAAATGAATGAATTGGAATACCAATACCACATTCACCTACAGATGATGTATTCCTAAATGAACGAATGCCACAGATTTCTAAAAGAAATGAAGACATTCCAAGAGGAATGTTACCAAAAGCAGCAAAATTCCTAGAAGATATAGGACAAGGAATTAAAAATAAATTTACATCTAGTAGACCAACAACACCTTCGCCATTAAGCCAATATACTCTAAGCAGAACACCTACTATTGAAATAACTGCCGACGCATCTGAAAGAAAAAGAAATGAAAGAGGATATACACCCCACCAGATCCTTATGAAAGAAAACGACAAAGATACAAAAGCCCAAGTCTTAGTTCAAAACATACAGACCAAACTTCTAATAAAAAAATTAACGAAGAAATAGAAATACCATATTATGATAATATACATAATGAAGGACAATCCTCAACTGTTAGACCGGTACATGGTATCTTTAGAGGACAAACATATACTACCTACGTACCTAAAACAGTATATCAAGAATTAGAAGACTTCAAAGAAGATGAATTAGATGAATTAGAAGCAGAATTAGAAACAGATCTAAAAGATCATAAAAATGAAAGATTTAGACAAGAAGTTGAAAATCAACTTAAAGAAAACAAAGGATATGGAATAAATGATGATGAATATAATCATATTCTATTAAATAACCTAACTATACGACAAAAGAGAAAAATAGTACACACTATTATTAGTACTGAAACAGAAAAGATATTCAGTAAAAAAGAGACTGTCATACCCCTCATGACATTTTGAGCATTAAAATACAAAACCCCCAGGAAAACAGAATAGTAGGAACCCCTATACAATTAGCAGCTAAAGGCTTAGCTATACAACAAGGTCGTCCCAATGGAGACTATATTCTAGCAATGAATATTAGTGATAAAAATATTCAAATAAAGCAAGGTGAACATATTGGAAATATAGTACAAGTTGATGAAAAAGAAACAATCAAATATGACCCTGAATTTTTTCCATAAAAAAATTAGGAGAAACTGAAAAAGAAAGAATAAAAATATTACAAAAAAGATGTGGAAAAGAAGTATGGAAAATACTGTGTAACGTATTAACAAAATACGTAGATGAATTTAGAGAAAAACGAGAAATGTGAACTTCTATAAATAAAAACATAATTTATGATATTCAATTAATATTGAATAAGAAAGAACATGAAATTCCAAATAATGATAAAAACCAAGGAATAAGAAAATATACAGTAGAAGAAGAAAATATTATTAAAGAATTATGCGATGATTTAGAAAAAAATGATGTTATATATCCTGGATATAGCAAATGGGCTAGTAATATACAAATAATAACCAAAAAAGATGGAAGAAAAGCTATAGTAATAGACTATAGAAAATTAAACAAACATCTAATAAAATTCAAACAACTATTACCAAATACAATGCAATTTCTACAAGATATTAGTAGATATAAGTACTATACTACTATGGATTTAAAATCAGCATATTGGCAACTAAACATGCATCCAAATTCACAAAAATATACAGCAAGTAGATTTGGAAGATTTGGAATATACTTTTGAAAAAGGCTACCATTTGGAATAACAACTGCACCAGCATACTTAATAGCTGAATTAAATAAACTATTTAAACAATTCGATTGGTTAAAATATATATGGATGATATGACTATAGTGGCAAATTCACCACAAGAAATAAAAAAATGACTAAAGAGGACTTTAGAAATCCTCAAAAAAGCTGGGCTGAAACTCAAGCCTTCTAAGTGTAAATTCTTAGTCGATGAAACTACTATACTTAATTGCAAAATCCGGTACAAAGAAATACGAAAAAATGCTAATAAAGAAGCATTAATCAATACCAAAGCTATACTATCTAATAAAACTGAAGTACAAGCCTTCATGGAATTCATGAATTACTTCTGACTATATATATTAAACTTTGCTGACATAGCAGCGCCATTATATGAATTAACTGGAAATACCACATTTAAATAGACAAATGAATGCCAAACAGCATTTGACAACCTTAAAAAAAAAGTTAAACGAAATAAATATCTTTCATACCCAGATCCAAATAAACCTTTCTTTATAGAATGTGATGCCTCACAAACAGGCATAGGAGCAATATTATATCAAGAAGACAAAGAACGAGAACATTATAAACAAACTGAAAAACGATTTAAAGAGGGACTTCTAAAAGAAGAACTCAAAAAGAATTATGATAATCCACCAGCTTCAAATAGACGAATCATAGAATTAGGATCACATAGCCAAAGTCAGACACAACAAAATAGGACTGCAACACAAAGAGAAATATATGCAATATACATATTCTTAAAACAATGGCGACACTACATTGGCAATCAGGAGATACACATTTATACTGATGTAACTAGAATATCAGCAACAAAGAAAACAACTGTCACAAGCAAAACAATAGAAAATTGGATAATGAATTTACAAAAATTCAATTATATTATACATAGAATACCGGAAGCCAAAAATAAAGCAGCATATTTATTATCAAGAATAGCAAATAATAAAGAAAATAAATCTTTAAAAGATTTGATAAATATTACAATTGAAGAAGAAGATTAATCAGAATAAGGATAAAATCAGAATCATCTTGATCATGAGAATAACCTAAACAATCACAAACGTAACGATTACAGAAAGAACATTTGTAATAAGATAAAAATTTCCCAGTTAATGGAGAAATATAAGATGCATATTATTATCACTCTCATTATCAGAAGTGTTAAAACGAGAACTACCAACAGTAGAAGAGTCAACGTTGTTAAAAAGCAACTGAGCATTATTATTGATATAATCTTAAAAGTAAAAGAATTGAAAAAGATTAGAACCATCCCAGTATTCATAAGAAACTTCTTCACATTCAGTAATAAGATCTATAAAAGATAAGGAATTAGAATTCATCCAACATACAACCACAGCAAGTTAGAAGAATATTATCTAACTTACTCTAGTTGGTTGATAAACAATAATAAAACCCTTACCATCATCCCTGGTAAAAACAGGATCAAAAATTCATACATCAAGAAGCGAAGGATCCAAAGAGAAATCAGAAATGATATAAACATCTTGACCATCATCAGACTTAGTAACCTCACCAAAAGGAGGCTTAGTCACAAGAAACTCAGAATCTTCATCCTTATTACAACCGCTAGCTTCAAACTCGAGAAGATGATCAATGATAAGAGACCTTAAAGAAATAGATTCACTAAAACAGCAATAATAATCAACAACATCTTGAAAAGAACGATCCTTAAAAGAAGTATTCCAGTAGATACGCCAATCAAACATAGAAACATCTTCACCCTCGCCAAAGTCAAAGTTTTGAGTAATAATACTCTCTATAAAAAACTTAATATGCTGATGAGTATTCATACCATTCTTCTATCCAGCAAAAGTAGTATCATGAAGATACTTAGCAAAAGGATAAGAAATATAAACTATACAACCATTAAGTTCAATACGAAAATGGTGATAATCCTCAAAATCAAGAGAAGAAGAGATATCAGAACTAGTCAAAGTAAAAGCTATAATATTTGGAAAGAAAAATAAAGAAAAGGAGTAATTAAACAAATAGGATAATTGCTGAATAAAGATATATTAAAGAAAACAAATATATAAAGATGATCAAAATGAACATTGAAGAAAAAACGCTTGAAAAACCATTGGATTTATAAAAAAGAATTCTGAAAATAAATCGGAAAGAAACAAGAAATGAAAAATAAAGGAATCCCGGCAAAATATGAAATCAAGAAAATCTTGGAAGAAGAATCTGAATATATCCTGTATTTACAAGCAAACAGAATCATTAATTGAGAATTAGAATGTCCAAAGTGTGGAAAACAAATAAAATAAAATAACGCCAAAATGTTTATTTGTGGCAACTGGAAATGTGGAAAATTACAATCATTATTTACAAACTCATGGTTTGAAAAAGATAAGATATGAGTCAATGAGATATTAGAAATATATTATTACTGGTTATTAAAGATGCCAAGCGCATCTATTGCGATAACCATGGGAAAAGATCCATCCACAATTAGTTACCATTTAAGTAATATCAGAAACTTAGTAGGATCCCACATACAAGAATATAAACAAAAGATAGGAGGAAAAGATATTATTGTAGAAATAGATGAAACCAAAATGGGAAGAAACAAATACCACCGCAGAAAACTCGTCATTGGTTCATGGGTATTCACAGGAGTAGAGAGAACACCTGATAGAAAATATTTGCAACAATAATACCAGATAAGACTGAAGATACCTTATTAGGATTGATTAAAGATAATATTAAACAAGAATCAATTATTTACTCAGATTGCTTTAGATCGTACAAAAATATTTACGATAAGCTTAACTTTGAGCATATGACAGTAAATCATTCTGAATACTTTGTAGATCCAGACACTGGAGTTCACACAAATACTGTGGAAGGAACATAGAACGGAATAAAGATCGGAATACCTACCAGAAATAGAACTAAAGATAAAATACAATCATATCTATTAGAATTCATTTGGAGACACCTAAACAATAATGACTTATAGGAAAACATGCTACAATGTTTACAAAATGAATTATTAATTGAAAATAAGGAAATTGTAAACAAAGATAAGCCTGAAACGCGTATCAAAACTGATATAGAAATCTAACGCGCATCTAATAATAAACAAGTATAAACAAAAGTAGGGATAATAATTAATAACCCTGAAAGTATAAAAGAACCCTAAAAATAAGTCACCAAAATCTCACTATCATATGGCTCACAAAGGAATCCAACAAGAAGTACAAAATACTAAACTCTGGATACAAGAAATAATAACTAATATACGAAATCTCCTTACAAGAAAAGAATATAATAATCAACAAATCCTACAAGTATTTCTAAATAATAGAACAGGAAAATTTGAAAAACTTGTTACCTCAACAAAGGAACAAAGAGTAACCTGCATAGTAACTAAAAACGGAAAAGAAACGCTAATTGAAAAAATCACCAAATTAGCTAAAGAAATATACTTAAACATCAAGTTAAACACTACATACCTTGGAATCATTAATCAGATTCAAGAAATAAAGAATTGTCAAGACCTCTTTAGTATTAAAGAAATACAAAAATTAATAATTAATAAGAAACTGTAAAATACATGAGTGTATACGAAATATACAATTGGCAAAAGAAAACACACTTCAAATCACAACTTGAAGAACTTGAAGAAGTATTATAGTACAAGTTTGAACAAAATAAACCTCAAAAGGGTATAAGAAAGAGAAAGGCACCAAAACAAAAGATATAGCAAAAAACACAAAAGCTGAGAAGACATTTATAGTTCAGTATGGGCTCCAAGAGGGAGTTTTGCTACACGAATTACTATTTCACAATATGGAACATCCCAAAACACACAAGTGGAGCTGGGATTAAGCTATATCTTGAGCACTATGGTACAACAAAAATCATAGAATGGCAACAAGGCCAAAGAGGGAAAAGAGCATTTTATATAGGCATAGCATACAACACAAGAAAGGGAACCCACCCACTAAGTGGGCTATGATCAGTACAATTAGGCCAAGGAAAAATGCATAGAATAATTTCTGGAAAATTTGACAAAGCGATGCTCGATGAAAGAGATAGGTTTAGGTGCACTATCAACAAGGTGCCTAGAATAGCTCTAGACAGCTTACTACTATGCCAACTAAGAAGTTATAGAGCACAAGCAGCTTACACAATAAATAATAGTAACGGCCACCAAAGCGGAAAAGCTTTCATCTACTTTAAAAGCGAAGAGGACATGATTCGGACCCTTGAATCAAATATATTTTATTATGACAAAAACTAGAGTGGCAAACACCAACACAAGAACACACTAAAAGGGGTTTTACAAAGAATCAGCAACACAAAAAGCCAGAACGACCTCAAGACAAGAGATAGAACAAATCCGCTCAAGAAGAAGAAAACCCTAATAGCCCAAAGTTAAAAGAATCTGAAAGAGAAGAAGGGGAAACAACCCCAAGAGCAGGAGGAAAAAGAGAGAAAAATAGAGATAAAGAAGAATTGAGACAAAATAAAAGCAGTATGAAGACTAGGTTCAACATGTCTTGACAATCCCTAATGGCAAAGAACCAGAATAAGGAAAACTCTCACCCACATGATCAACAAGAGGAAAATAAGCATTTTGGAAAAAATGCAAAAGAGAAAGAAAGAGAAGATTCAATATTCACT